CCTACGTTTTTGAACCCTATGACCTGCAGACCTGATCTAATTGGGAAAAAAACATTTTCATGACACTTTACTCAACTTGGTGGAGAGGCAGTGACACAAACAGGGATTTTTGGATCCATGTTCTCATCAGTTAGCGTGTAGAGCTTTTTTTCTTGCTTCTTGCCTTGTGACTCATCAGCCATCTGCTAATTATCGTCCCAGTGTTTGACATAAAGACAGAAAGCAGACGGAGTTTAGGGAGGCTTGTTTATCCATGCTGTCGAGACTAGACAGAATTACAACCTTACAGCTAAAGGCAAATAGGAGGGTGCAGCTGCTTTTGTTTAATGTGGCCAAACAGAGCTCATCACTGTTACATTAATGAAAGCCCTTCCTCATTTAATTTGAATTAGGTCTGGATATTTGGTGCCCAAGAGTTCTTAGCTATACACTCTACAGATCACCTGTCAATTCATCTTCTTTCTACTGGCCATAATGAGTTTCTGCTCATATACTGAGACTGCAGACAGGGTGTAGCATCCTGAACTAGTTTAAACTTATTCACCCTAAACCTTACCTTTAACTTATTTGTGAGCCTCTGTGCTGTTCTTGATGATTTGATAGTTTGGTAAAACATTTTAGTGTCGGCCTACTGTTAATCTGTAATATGAGCAAGCATTGTTTCCTACTACGGACGAGTTGAACCCAAGAGCAGCTCAACACGCAGTACGTCATTGTCCAAAAACCAACATGCCAATGGCTGTGTGTGTTATGTTATGGGTTATGGGTTATAAGGTGATGTACAGTGAGTTGAGCTGCTCTCATTGGCTACGCAGTTTCAACTTGTCCGTTGCATGAAACAATGGTGACAACGATTTGAAACAAGAAATAGTCAACGCAGTAACAGAATCTTGCTTCATATCTGATCAGCACTGCCTAGTTTGACAGTTTGATCTGAATTTGGTGTGTTGAGCTGGACAGACTCACTGAGTATGACCTGTCAATCACAAGGTAGCCCTACCCTAAAGCATACCCTGCTTTATGGTCTATTTCACTCTAAATGGGACCATCATTTACTAAATGAACATCGTGCTGTATGGAAGAAGACTGAAACTAGAGATTGAGACCATAAACAAGCTCATAAATCAAGTGAGAAGTTGGCTCATTTCTCCATAAAATTCTATACTATGAGCTTCTCTGTGCATCCAATGGAGAGAATGCATGTTTAAGACACTTATGTGTTGGCTTCACCTCACAGACCCAGTTGCTCTGTCTGTTATATATACTGTCAATGGTCTGAACATGTCTTTATGTTACAAATAAATGGTGCAAAAGTTGAATTGGGGCTTGAATGCTGTCAGATTTGATTTTTAGAAGTGCAGTTGAAATGCGAATATAACTCAGTCAGCAGTTACAGAAAATATACAATTAAAATAGTAACCCCAAGTTATTATTTAATAACATTTCCATTTTACTTGCAGAACTGGAGTTTCAAACAGCAGCAGCTTGATGTACTGTGGCATATCAGAGGTGCAACTGCAAGTGCAAACAGTAAACTAAGTGCTGTCAAATGATGCAACTATTTCAGAGAATTATTGGCTGCTGAAACACTCCACCAGCCGCATAACAATGCCTTTGAGTCAGCCGTGATAATGACAAAAAACACACGCAGAACGCACACATGCAGAAAAATACACTTGCAAACAAGATCTGGCATACTAATACACTTACAACACACACAGAAAATGCTCACCGACGCATACAACATGGATGCATAATGCGCACACACTCCCTGGCTTGCTGTTTCAGCAGCTTGGGGGCAGGTAGGCCAACCCTTAAATCTGGGCTATGAATGTTAAGACAGAAGTCAGCCAATTAAACCTCAATTACTGCCCCGTTGTCAGATATACGATACTCTCTTCTACCCTCACTCCTCTTCCTCTCTTCGTCTTGCCCTGCTCTTTATCTCTTTCTTTCCGTCCTCCTCTCCCATTGCCACCTCCTGGCCCTCTGTCAATCTCTCCCTCCCTGCACCTTCTTTTTTCTTTTTAACAATTCTCTCCTCTCCCCCTCTCTCACTCATTAAAACAGTTCCCCGGTCTTCTCCCATGAGAGAGGAGGATAAAAATAGCTATTCTTCTTCAGCTTGTGCTCGCTGGTTCTTTCTTTCCAGTCGGCGCTCCGTACATCAAATAACTGCGTTTCTTCAGAATAACCGTCATCTCTTCTTCTTCTTCTCTCTTTGTTGCTCACTGACTCTCAGTCTCTTTTCTCCCGCTCTGTAGCCCCTCACCCAACCACACTTGTATCTGCCTCTTTAAAGATAGTTTGTGTTTCTAGCAGCGGTGGAGTTGTTGAAAGCCCCCAGGAGACCGTTATCATAAAGTTGCACACAATCCTACAGCTTGTTTGTGATGGAGAAGGAGCTGCTTTATCGGACACAACTGCTCTGTGCTCGGGATGAGATCGGCATGAAATGAAAATGTGGTTTTTGTTGCGTCTTAAAGCACTTTTCTACCTTAAAGTAACAGCCTCAAGGTCATTTTGATACGTCACTGAGTTGCAATAGGCTGAATGGTGCTTTGTCATTCCCACTCTGTCCCCTACATGCCTGTTCTTGCACTGCGTAACTTTTGGCTCACTGTTGGGACAAGGGCGTTACGCTTTATGGCAGTAGTCACACACCACCCATTAAGTCACTGATTTTGGTGAAACTGGATAATATTTTATGGAGAAAATGCTCTGGTTTTCCAGCTGTTCTGCCCTGGATGCCTGAGACTGGGAGCTCAGAGCACACAGGGAATCTTGTAGTTTAGCTTTGGAGTGCTGGAATAGCAATATGGCTAAGTGCGATATCCAAATCGCAGAGGATGCAAAAGCTAACGGAGAGCAGTGCTGGAGTCATGGCAGAACCGGAGTCGAGTGAGCTGGCAGTGTGACCGGGCTCAGCAGCTTCTATGGACATAGCTAATGTCAGAGGCAAAGAGACCTAAGAGGACGCTGGCTAGCTGGGTTGCTATGTCTTGTGTTTTTGCACTTGCTTGAGGTTTGGCTGCGTTAGCAAAGTTGTCGACTCGCTAGCTTTTGATCATAAGTAATGTAATCATAACTAATGCATGTGTACAGCTGTCCATATTTACCACAGTGGTATTGCAACACAGGGCACCAAATCGAAACAAACACCCAATCTTAGACAATGTTGCTTTAACTGGCGTTCTCTATCTGTGCAGTTGGTGATTAGGTAGTGAGAGCATTTAAAATGTTGACATCTGATGCCACAGTCTGTTGTAAAAAACAGAAAGAATAACCCCTAGGCAGATGGGAATGTCATCTTCAGCAATGATGTCAACAGTTAAATCATCTGGAAAGATTGTGTATGTTCGCAGGTCTACAGCTTCAGTTGATAAATAGATTTTGTGCAGTGTGTATTTACACACACGCACACTATTGTGCTAAAAAAGTAATGAAACAGTGGTCAGATAGATGACTAAATAAACCGCCATAGTGGTGCACATTAAAGAGAACAGATATCTTCTTTACAGGAAACATAGCTATGCGGGAGAGGAGGTAAAAGAGTAATAAGCTTGGATAGCAGAGAAACCCCTTCCCTCCATACACACACACACACACACACACACACACACACACACACACACACACACACACATTGGAAGAGCAAATGGCCATCTGGCTGCTATGAAAGCAAAGCTTTTTATGCCGTTTCCTCATTAGTTAAATTCTTTTTTGTCAACGACACTGTGATAGGATAAAAGAGGCGAGGAGGGAAAAGATGAGAGAGAGGAAAGATGGATAGAGCAGGAAGAGATGTAAAGGGAGAGGAGAGAGAGAGATGTGGAGAAGATGAAATGATAGAGAGAGAGAAAGTAGCAGTACACGCGATGCCAGAGGGTATAAACAAACTGCTCACTGGCACAGTTACACAGCAATATAAACTTTCCCCTTTGAAAACACTTTTAATGTCCCAACATGCTAAAAATACAGCATAACGCAGCAGCAACAGCTCAGACAGCAGACAGACAAAGCTTCGTGCTCGGTAGTTTCCCGCTGTACAAAAGGCTTCAGAGACAATAAATCTTACATTTGTGTTGACACAAAATCATCTGTCTGAAAACCTACCCGACTAGGCCAAAATAATTCAGAAACAGGTTGTTTGGATTCAGTTTTTGCCCATGGAAGCAAAACTGCAGATGCAAACTGTATGACAACAAGACTGAACTCTACAACATCAGAGAGAATACCTCTGCCAAGGCTGCAATCCTCTAAGGTTGTTACTTTTACAGATGAACCTCTATTGAAGCAGACATTTTTACTTGTCATTGCTAGAAAACACGCAGGTGTAACTCCATTTATACCAAGTATGCACAATACCTTGGCCCTAAGTGGAATATAGCCATTATGAATGCTATTAGTGACACCCGTGTGTGAACAGAGAAAATGTCACCAATGGGAAAGAAAAATGTTTAGAAATTATGATTTGCATCTGGATATATCTCAATCAGAAACAGAGGAGAAATGGACAATCAAGAGATAGATGCACCATTTCTTTCATTTAGATAAGTCCAGAACTTCAGTGGAAAATACATTTTCTTATGTTCAATGTTGAGAAAACATCATAGTAAAAGGCATACAATTACAGATCAATGTATATGTGACATATTGATTGTGTGAACAAAAAAGACAAAATTATTTCTGAGTCTTTTTCATTTAAATCTGGTTTTAGCTAAGTACAACACAAACAAAGAAAAACATAACCTCCTTGGTGGAGGAAGTTATAATAATACAGATCCATCTGAGAATACAATTACTGCATAACACATGTAAAACGGAAACAGATTAAATCATGCTGTTCATAAGCATTCATCATTTTATGTTACATTCAGTATATATGTATTCTGTAATGGATATGGTTCATCAAATACATTATACGAACTAACGTTTTCAAATATGTTATCTCTCCAGGTGTGCAAAGAGCAGTTAAGATAATCAATGAATTCACTCACCATCTTTGTCAGCTCTTCTGAATATCTGTGAACAGAAAGCAAAACAGAGTAGTTAGAATCATTGAAGGTATCCGCAGTGAGCTGCAGGAGGTATGAACAACAAGAATGTGCAATCATATGAAAGCCTTTGAAGGAGAGCGGCTCCAGCACCCCTTCAATTCAAAGCTGGTGTTTGGGAAAGTTACTTTTAAGTGACTAATTACATTTGGTGGACACAAAAACACAAATGTAAAAAATTAAACCCATAGATTTAATGAACACTTTCCAAACAAACAAAAAACAAAAACTGGAAATGATAACAGTGGTTATACAAGTTTCACAAAATAGTATTTATTAAATGGCTATGGTGCACTTATTTTCATTGTTTTGTGTGTGAGTTCATGTTATGCTCTACTCCCTACTTTTAAATAAATATTGTTTTCATCTTGTACAGTACTTGAATGACTTTAATTGTCATTCAAGTCCATGTGTACAACTGTGTATCATCTGTGTAACAATACACCATATTCCCAAATCACAGTGCTAAAGAGGAAGCATGTACACACAAAATAGAAAAAGACCTAATATTGAACCCTGTGGAACACCATAGCTGATATTTACATGAGACTGTGGAATTTTCTGATTTAACCCAGAAAGTTTAATTTGAGAAAAGAGAGAAGATTTTAAAAGATTTTCAAGGTTTAAAGTTGTTTAATGAGTTTCAAAATCTGTGCTAAGCTCCAATAAATGTAGCTCTGAGCAGTTGCTTGCATCTGCTGTAACTAAAAACGTCTCTCACACTCAAAAGTGGAGTTTGAAAGACTAAAAGAGATTGACAGAGAGCCCAATAAATGAGCTAATATTAGCATATCAAAGATTTAGCATCACACTCCTGTATGTACATTGACTCATGATGGACAGTTTAAAGAATGGATCAAACCAGAGAACAAGAGGTAGTTTTGTGCTGACTCAAATTACATCACTTGAGGCAATTTATCAGTTTTCACACAAGCTACCTCTGGAAACACAAAAGTGTTCATGTTTGGTACAGTATGTTATTTTTGTATGAAACTAAACTATTACCACATATTTTTTGTTTTTTGTTCTTAAAGAGAACAGGATACTTAAAAAATCAGTGTACGAGAATTGGTTTAGAGGTCAAAATGTGAAAGCTTCTTTAGATGCATTGACAGGCCCATTACTAACAATTTCACATCCTGTATTTTGAGATTGAAAGTGAGGCACTTTTTTTTACTTTAATGAGATTTGTAAATTTTGTGCTCTGGGGCAGAACATTTACATCATTTCAGCTGAAGTGACAGATGGTTAAGCACATGTAAGGTGGTGTTTCTTAAGTAGAACAGAATTACCAATTCTTTGCAGGAAAAAAAGAACCTAGTGGGTGAATAACTGCAAATAGTAATGTTTGGTCTTCCATTCAATTTGTTAACCAGTGCAGCCTGTACAGAGACTGTGACACACACAAACACACAACCAGATTAGGTGCAGTGGTGTGTGATAAGACTGGTTAGGAGCCACAGGAGTGAAAAGTTTATTAATGTGACAGAGGATAACAACTCACAAATGTTATGTACACGCACAGACACTCTATGCATGTATGAACACACACAATTCTGGGAGCTAATTTATAGCTTCAGTGAAAGCTTCTTTCCCTATGGAATTGAAAGTGGCAGGTCTGGTACTTTCATCAGTGTTTCAGAGTGTGACATAAACTGTTCCTACTGACAGCAGCTGCCAGGAAGTAGCACAATGCCAGAGAAGAGGTGGAAGACAGAGAGAAAGACACGGTGAGGGGGATGCAAAATATGAAGTGAACAGACAGAAAGAAAGTGGGAGGGAAGGAGGATACTTATTTTATTTTCTTCTGAGAGAACCTGTCACCACTGGACTGTTACAGCAGCAATTCTTCTTGTGAAGGACACAAGTGACAACTTTGATAGACGCCTTTCCAACCTACAGGGGGATGAGTGAGTGGTACTAAAAAGATTTTTTGGTGGAGCGAGTCTTTAACTTAGCCCCATTATACAGACAACATGTGGAAGTCTGTAAAGTACAGATTCCTTTCCATCACACTTGAGAAAAGAACTGGAGCATAGCTTATAAGAATTCTAACCTAAAAGTGTCTTAAACTGTCAGAAATAAAAGCCTTAAGACTTGACACTGACTTTTATTATCAGCTGTTAATGGGAATGTCAGAAGAAAGGAGGATTTAAACAAATCATTTTTTTAGATTTGGTGACTCAACATTTCAAGTAAAACGTACTACAAGGAGTTGTAACTGGCTATGAAACAGTTAAATACCGATGCCTCTGCATGACCTACATAAACAAACAAGACCTTTAGTAAGAAGATTGGCTGTTTCCTTATAGTTATTATTAATGCAACCATCAGTGCAACGAGGCAGTGGAAACACTACCACTTTTGTCTACAGGGGCCGCCAGAAACAACACAAAATGAAAGTTCATTGTCGCTTTCAAGTAAAGCAGAAAGGATGCACCAATTAGCTTTTCAAGAGAAAATCAATCTGCAATGCTTTTGATAACGGATTTATTGTTTCAGTCTGTTTTCAAGCAAAAATTCCAACCACTCCAGCAGTATTAAACTGAGACTGTTTCATAACCAGGTACGCACTCCTTGTAGTAGATTTAAACAATTAATCAAGAAAATTGTTGATAGATATTAGGGGTGTAAAGATTTACCAATACGAGTCAGAAATCGGTTTTAACATTGTAGATGCGACTACATCGGTACGCGGAGCCCTGGATGGATCTAAATGTACCATGAACCAGTTGATGGCCTGATTCTAAAGATATGAAGACTGAAGCTTTGCTGCTAACACAGTCTTCCCTCTCATGAAAGGTAAAAGGTCAACGCCAGGATCTTGAGTCAATAGTGACGAGAGTAATGTGGCTCGCGAGGTCGGTACATAAACAAACACGTCCCACAACGCGGACACGACTTACAGTGCACCATCATATCTAAAGTCTGGAAGACATATGTTAGGGAAGTTGGTAGGAAAGTTGGACAAACGTCTATCCATTTGTTGGACAGCAATGAAGTACAGCGGTAGCACCACACATATTAATACTCGTCTGGTGAGACGGCATGGTAACACCTATGCAGGCGACGAGGAGTCTGTGGATGCTAATACAGCTAGCATAAGCAAGAACACGCAAACACAGATAGTAAACACGTTCCAGGCCCAACTTGGCGAGGTCTAAGGTAATCACGGCAGAAAGTCTTTTTTTGTCTGTGTCTGTTGGAAAAGCAATAAACACAATGACGGAAAGGAGACCTTTGTCTCCCAATTTTTACAATAAAGGGAAAAATACTTGGGATTCTCTGCCATTTATTAATGATATGTATTGGAAGGTAAGTAATGTTGGTTTTATAGAACTGGCTTATTTTAATTTAGTATAGTAAATAAATGTCTACATTAAACAGAACTGTATCAGATTCATTGTATCAAATTGCACCGAGTTGTTCCATATCAAAATGCATTGTCCATGAATCGTATCATAGCCCATGTATGTAGATAAGTATCAGATCATCTAAGAAGGGAGAGATGCACACCTCTAATAGATATAGATTAATAATGAAAATAATTGTTAACAGACTGCAGTTCAGGATCATCAGGATGGACTTTTAAACAAACTAACCTAAATATGTAAAAAAGTACATGTTTATTGCTTGTCAAACTTGAAGTGTGTGTGGTGCATCCAGGCAGCGACTGCGGCCATCTGAACGGGCCAAAGTGAAAATCACTAACGTTCCAAATGACAAGCTGTTCTGCATTGTTCTGCTCTCCGGCTGCACCCTGGGGCGCACTCAACTCCTCAGAAAGCAGCCAACTCTGGAGCTGCTGGAGACAGACAAGCTCGGAGAGGAGGGAAAGTGTTGCATTAAGGAGGCAGGGTGTGTGTGTGTGTGTGTGTGTGTGTGTGTGTGTGTGTGTGTGTGTGTGTGTGTGTGTGTGTGTGTGCGTGTGTGTGCAGATAGTTGTAACAGAAATACAGAGTGAGAAGAATATGAGAGACAGTGGAGGAGAGGAACAGAAAACGATTGAACAAAGCAGAAAGACAGAGACGGAGGGAGGGGGATGCTGCATCCATCTAACCTTATTAAGAATGGATGCTTTTCTTGGCCTGGCTGAGGAGAGAGGAGAGGAGGAAGACGAGAAGGATATGAAGGAAAGGAAGAGAGGAGAGGAGGAGGAGGAGAGTACAGAGGATGAAAGGAGTTTAAAGGATAGAAAGGGAAGGTGCATCAGGGTTAAGATGAAGGGGAAGACAAGAACAGCAAAGGATGAGAAACAAGCAAGCAGAGAGTGTCTAATGAGGAGAATGCTGCCTGAACGCACACACACACACACGGACAAACACACACATCTACAGCAATCGCTCAGATCCCTTTGGTGTGGACTTCTCCACCATGATAATAATGCCAGGGTCAATAATATTGGAGAATGGCGAAAAACGATTAACATTTCAAAGTTCAAGCTGATGCAGAAAGTGAGCTGGAGAGAAAATGCCAGAGAGAGTTCACGGCTGATGTCAGAAGGCGCCGTGTGTGTCGACCAATCAGCATAAGCGAAGCAGAGAAGTGGAAATCATAGAGACAGAGCAGCTGTTCCGGTGTCAGGATCAGAAGCAGGTCAAAGAGCCATTCTGGGTCCTGACTCAAAGATTATGAAACGCTTCTGTGCTGCATCTGCCTGAGTGGACTCCTCTTCAGTATGAGCAGCAACTCTGGCTACCCCCATCCATCCCCACACTCACACACACACACACACATACAATTAGTTTACTAGGGTACTAGGATATATTGGCCCTCTGGTCTTGATCATAATTAGTTTTCCATGGACCCCCTTCTTTTATCAGTCCATCATCTATTTGGGTCGTGGTCAGGGTCTGAAGCAACTGAACTACTTTCCTTTTGTTTTTCTACCCCTTTAAAGCATTAAATCAGCATCAGCTCATCCTCCGGGAGACAGATTTAGTGGGGCGCTGATGAGAAAGAACCCAATAGTATTGATGAGCTGACCTAAATCGACACTGCGCTGCGTAATTGCCGCTTCCGAAACAGGAAGGCTGCATCTTTGCACGGGTTTATCCGCCCGCCTCTGAAATATGGCAGTAAGACATTTTCATGAATAATTAAAGTGTTGTGATAAAACTGTCTTAAGCATCCTAACAGACAATCCGACTCACTGGTGCTGCTTTTACTGCGGGTGGAGCTGCTGGTGTTGGTGCGCGTCGGACTTTCTTTGGACTGACAGTAAAACCATCAGCGAAAGTAGCGCTGCATTCACTGACCTGGATTTATGAGCACTCCAGTAGTGGTGTAGTAAAGAAGTGTACAAATCAAGCCAAGCTTAAAGGAGTTCTTGTCACTAAGACCCGGGACATGTACAGTGGATTTTGCACAGTGATCTGAGACTGTCCAGTCACCGGGAGGTCACAGGGACGATCCCGACAGACTCTCTTTACTAACTGTCTAGAACTATCTCTTGCCTACTCTGCGAGGCTCGAGTTACAAGCCTCCACAGTGAACTGGAAGACCGTTTCTGTGCGTAAGTGCGCACTGCACCGCTCCGTACGCGCTGCTCACTGGATGCCCTCACCCTCCCACCCGACCTGCCAGGCGGACCACTGCCCGGTGCCTCTCCATACTCACATCCAAAATCACGGAGATTCCTCTCCGTGGCTCCGGGGCGAAGAACTGCTCCTGAGCCACGGCCACCTCCTCCTTGCTGGAGGCGTACTCCCGGCTGGAGATGTTCTTGTTGTCGCTCATTTTGGTGACGATCCAGCGGACGAGCCCGTCGATTCCACCGGGCTGAGCGCCGCTGTTTCCGGACTGCGCTGCCGTCGCGGACTCGCTGTCCTGACCGGCTACGGGTTTCGGCTGCTCGCGGCTTTCCTGGGCTCGAAGTTTGGCTTGTTCTTTGTTGAGCAGTTTGTGGACTCCGTCCCTACAGTAGCGCGCTGCCTGCTCACACATCCTTTTGCTGCGGAGCGTTCATGCTGCGCTCTATGGGGGAGAGAGAGAAGCCCCCACCCCTCCCCACCTCCCCTGTTACATCACAGCACCCACCCCAAAACACACCCACCCTTCATATCCTACATACCTCCAGTGTTATCTACCCAGCGAAAACTGCTCCTTTTATTCCTATAGAGAGATATGTGTAAGGTTTGGAGAGTTTATAGTGACTTTGCTGCACTGATTATCTTTTGCTACACGACAATTCTTTTATATTCCTACAGGTACAATGTATATTTTGAGTGAATACACTCTCTCTACAACATTTGTTGGTAGTTTTTTTTAATTTGAGCTTGGGTCTATGAGCAGTGAGCAGCCAGGTAACATCCCTCCATGTTGTAATACAGCTGGAGAACACATCTGGAATAAAGTAGCATCACTTTCTCTGGGCTTGTTGATGGGTGTAAGACTTCTGTTTAATGTCCAGTGCCATATTTGTCTTCCATCGCTTAAACAGTCCCAGCAGGAGGCAGTCTGTGTGGCTCACTTTGTCCCAGTGCGAAGATCAGACGGTTTTCTCTTGAACTGTCACTCTGGCTCCTCATTACAGGTAGCGCGGTGTGTGTGTGTGTGTGTGTGTGTGTGTGTGTGTGGTGTGACAGATCCAACACTTGTTAACGACCGTGTCCTCCAGCTCTGCCCTTTCAGCACAGGAGCTGGTGTTTCCTGCACTGTGCAGTGTGTCTAACAGCACACTGGGTAGTTTGGACAAATTAACTCCTGCTGGAACATCTTAAAACGCAGGTTATAAGAATGACCAGAAGGCACAAAAGTAATGTAAACGATGTGCAGCATCCCCCCCCCATCGCCGGAGCATTAGAGTTGGTAAACTCACTTGACATGACTGCCCCCATGTGGGAAGGATGTGTAATGGTAGGCCTGGGCAGGTTCTCACTGCAGGATTTATTCAGTTTATTCAAATATTGGCAGTGCAACCTGGATTCTGAAACATTGGTTTTTATTGAGTTTTAGAAAGAACAGGAACGGGCACAGACATAAAACACAGTGACAAGTATAGTGAAAGAAAACTACCTACTAAAAAGTACTTAATCAGGAATGTTTCTGTAACTTACTAAACTAAGTTAGTGTCACTTAGAATTACTAATAAAAGCTGCTTCATCAAGAATCTTTTTAACTTGCAAAATTCAGTTTGTGTAAAACTTTCAATGTAATCGGTACCAACAATTCTTTTGAGCTACCACAGCACAGATTTTATGTTAAAAACTAAAGTTTTGGCAAATTGCCAAAAAAAAAAACTACTTTGCACATGACACCAATACAGTTTACAGACAGATTATTTCATTTATAATTAACTATATCACAATTCCAGTGGGTCGGAAGTCACTTAAAACAGCATGGGAAATTTCTGAAAATGATGTCATGCCTTTAGACGCTTCTGAAAGGCTAACTGACATAATTTAAATCAGTTGGTGTGGATGTATGTTCGACATAAGCAGGGAAGAAGCCATTGCTCCAAACCCAGCATAAAAAGCCAGACTATGGGGGCAGAGTTTACTTTTTGGAGAAATATCATAGCTCATTTTAACTCTATATACTGTTGGGTAGTATTATCTACAGCAATGTATCGTATTCTTTCAGATCATCATAATGTTTGTAGCCTCACTGTCCTGTGAGAACCACGTATCTCTAAAGAGTCAACTTGTCATGAACTCAAACAGCTGTTTTCAGCTTGGTGACGATGCACTTTCCAGCTAATCCAAGACGGTATTAAGTTTAGTTTGCTTAAAGGTCCAGTGTGTAACATTTAGGAGGATCTATTGGCAGAAATGGAATAAAATATTCATATGTATGTTTCCATTAGTGTATTATCACCCTAATATTGGAATCATTGTGTTTTTGTTACCTCAGAATGAGCTGTTTATATCTACAGACACTGCAGGTTGCCTTCTGTGGCAACCATCATGTTGAACCACCATGTTTCTACAGTAGCCTAGAAGGGACAAACTAAACACTGGCTCAAGATAGGGGTGTTCGCATGTAGCCTATATAATATTTTCCTCTGAGATGTAGGGGAGTAGAAGTATAAAGTTGCATAAAACAGAAATACTCAAGTAGAGTAACTCTGTTATCTTAGTTATCATCCACAACTGACCAGAGCAGTACACAGAGCCAGTATACATCAAATGAGGTGTCAAATACCAATGCTGGGACCAGGAATGAGACTCACTCAACTATCTTTCTCTGCTCTGATTGGTTGTTTTTTTGTTATGTTTTTTGAATAACTTAATAAATTAATATGTGAATTGTCAGAACTGTTGTTTGTTGTTGTTGTGTTAACAATCGTGATGTCAGATTTGGTTAGATCAGAACTATGAAATGTTAAATTATCCATCTTTGCTCACTACATTTTAGCGTCCCTTACCCTTAGGTGTGTAAACACTACAGGTTATGAACTTATTTTTATATTCAAATCGAAGCAGTTATAAAATAACTGTAGACACAAAATGGACTAAATGGAATGGTGGTTATGGTTGTAGGCAATAGAGACTCATGAGAACGAGGGCTTATGTGTAGCTGCTGATAGTTCGTACATGCTGCAGCAGGTAAAGGGCTATAAAGGACAATTCAAACAGTTCAGTAGTGGGCAGCTGGATGTTCTCTCTAATGTGGATCAGAAAAGGGTTCCATACTTTGTAAAAGTTTATTCTTGGAACCCTTTAAAGAAAATGTTATTTTCTCCAATTGAACAGCTTCAGCAGTCATAAAGCTATTGTGTAAAACTGGGTGAAAAGGTGAAAATGTAACAGTCAGTTTAAAAAAGATCAGACATCGGCAAAGAAACATGGCAAAGGCAACACAATCTGCCTCAGCTTCAAAGCGGGGAAGTGTAGGAGATGACACACCAAAAAGGGCCAGCGGGGGGCATGGATGGAGCAAATTACAGAGACAGGTGGAAAAGACTGAAAAGATTTTAAACCAGAGTTCCTGGATTTTGCTGCAGGACGAGATGAGCTGGGGCTGATTTGCAGCGCTTGCACAACTCAGTGTAACTACAGTGTATTAGTAGTATTCTACTAATTCTAATGGAGGAAGTGTACACACTTTCTAAAATAGAACGCCAAAGACTATCTGAAAGATTCCCCTAATCAGCTTGTAGAGGCATACATATAACTGAAATGTTGCTTCTGTATAAGATATATAGAGAAATGATGCCTTTAAAAGACGAAGCGTGCTCCAAGATAGTATGGCAGGGTATATATGGGAGTAAAGCTGAACAGAGATCAGCAAATGACTTAATGCCCACGTTATGCCAGTAAAAGGTGTTTCCAGCGGAGAGGGTTTAAATAAGTGATTGTCTATCTTTACCAAGGCACTGACTGATGGTATGACCTCAGGAAAACATTGATATTCATCATAATTCTAAAAATATTTTCACACCAATGTCACACGCTTACATAGGTATGATAATGTCTGTCAAAACAGATTTTAACTTGAAATGTTTCATGGGTGTAACCGGTTATACCCTTTGACATTTCAAACTCCTATTACAGGCATTTATGTTAGACGCCAATTTTGTCAAATGTCATGACGCTGATTAAAGATGGAAGGTGAAAAAGTGTTCAGTGTTTCATTTGCAATCAGTCTGCAGGAGAGAGATAACACAGAGGGGATCATATGACAGGCATTCTTCTAGTTATAAAACATGAATTAGTCTTCTCGAATTAAAATTTGGTGTCATAACTGGCTCTGAATTTTCATTACTCTGTCCAATTTAAAAAGGCACCATGTTCAATAAAGCAAATGTTATCAAGTGAGTCCCACAACACATTTTTTGCAATTATTCTGCAGTCTGTGTGCTACAGTGGATGTGCATATTACTATGTCACTAGAATGAGGGATGAAGGAACTAGAAGTACATTCTCCTTTTGTATTGACAAGTAAATGAAACTTAAAGATCCCCTTCACACATGTATTAAGACATAATATAAATAGCCTGCATGGAACAATAATGTGTGTCTGATATGTTTGTTTTTTTACAAAAAAAGTATAAATTCCACATTATGTGAAAACATCCTTCTAGTGTCAAACTCTGTACAGATATCATTGCAACATCACCCTGTAGGAACATGAAGAGAAACACTGATCGAAGGGGGAGTTACAGTTATGATTCGATAAATAACTGATATTCAATGAAAAGTGTGTGAATATTGTTTTACACTCTGTAGCAAAGGGTCACAATGCCAGTGTATGATCAGCATCTTACAAGGGCAAAAGCACCATTATAAAAACATAAATGCTCAATGAATGACCATTTTATTGTAATCACTGTTAAAATAAATCATTAAACGTCAGGTGTCATTTTCACTAGCTCTCCTACAGAGGGACTGGTGTGACTGGCGCCCTCCTATAATGTAGTATTGCATTTCCATGGAGAGTGGGGACCCACAAGAGAAATGGTCAAAACCGAAGCAGCAGAGGCGGAAATGTTCTGTCCCTATTATTAGGTCAGGCTCCAAAAGTGCTGGATCAGACTCCTCGCCTGCAGTTTGTAATGCAGGCTTTGTTAGAAATCTGGTCAAGCTAAGATAACCCTGATGACATCATCACCAGTATTTTCTCTAACTTTACAAAGCTCCTTCAAAGCCAGACAATAAGGACTACATCAAAGAAAATATTATGAAAATATTGTATCTGTGATATTGTATTGACTCTCAAAAACTCTGTATTGGTTTTTGTGTTTAAACCCGCAACCACTAGATGGCAGTGGTGTAAACTGAGGGCTGTGATGTTGGATGTTGGACTGTTCTGGTTGCATAGAGAGTATACTTTATTCAGATTTTAGGCATATGGTGGTGTGTTTTTTTTTTTTTTTTTTGGCTTACAGTATTACAATATATCACAATATATTGAATCGTTACCCCTGTATCATGATATGTATCGTATCGCCAGATAATTAGAATATTCCTGAAATTTTCTTACCTTTCACAAGTAGCTGATGAACATAATTCGAGTCCTACACAGTCAGCTGGGCAGTAGACCGCCTGCA